TTTGTTGACAAGTTAGTTAGACTACTCTCCTTCCCTTCAAACTGTTTCCTTTTTATTGGCTGAAGAAACTGAGGCCGGTGTTTGGTATCACAAACACACACATATACTAGCTCACCACAGCAATAAAATAAGTAAATAAATTACTTATAATAAAACATTATAAGTAATGGACAAAAAGGCTTGACCAATACTGACCACGTGTCTAGCTCCAATTACGGTTTTATTGCCATGGGGATGTGATTTATTAATTTACAAATAGGGATATAAATATTTGTTCTGTACTTTCCCAGAGGCTTTTTGAAAATTTATCTCAACTGAGATAACACATTGGAAAAAGCCCTGAATACTGTGTGCTTTCTAAATAAATGGTTGTAAATTGTACTACACCAAAAAATTTGCAATGGCATTCAGAATTTTCAAGAACTGCAAGGTAGAGTCTTGCTTTCACAGGCCTGTCACTATCTACCCCTTCATCCCCTCCAACAGTGAAGGGCTGTGTAAAACAGAAAAGTAGTTATGATTTATTTTTGAATTTCAGTGTTTTGTGTTCTTCTTGCTTTATATGTAAACAGTAACTGGAGACATGTTGTGGGGGCGGAGTAGGGAATGGGGTCAAAAACGGGGGGGTGGTTGGTGGGGGGGAGGGAGGGAAATGCATGGGACTATGGTGGTGGCATACGGATGATTTGGTGATGGGAAACCCATGGGGATTACAATCGAGATGGAAAAAAAAATGTGCAAAATGATGTAAAAATAAACTTTTGTAATAATTAAAAAAAATACATGAGAGCTAACTAACTCCATGATAATAGCAAATAAATTTGTGATTGATAATTAAAAAAAAATGACTTAGCTTTTCTTCTTTTCCCTAAAAAAGAAGGTAATCTACATAGTGCTAATAATCTAGGCTTAAATTCAAAACAGTCGTTTATACTGTGACCTAAGGCAATTTGCATAATTTCTGTCTTTTCTTCACTCATTATAGACATCCCAACTGAATGTACTGAACTTACTACTTAAGATTATTGATGGGATGTGTATGAAAAACATTTAATTTAATTTCTGCCCATAAGGGGTATCTCTACTAGCACAAGGGGTTAAAATGTAGTATTGTGAAGCAATCAGCAGCCATTGCACCATGAATTCAATTCCTAGTCAGGGAGCTGACCCACATGGCACAGCAGACCTCTCCTGACCCACCCACTGCTCCCCTCAGCAGTGTGTTTCAGTCAATCTGCCTATTGTAATTCCCACTATCTCTGGTGAATCCTCTCAACCCCATATCTGGCTTATACCCCAGCTTTTGTATGCATTGATAAATTCAGAGGTAACTGCTTTCAAACACTGGGGTTCTTTCCCTAGGCCTTGGTAAACTGAGTGGGTCAACACTACCCGATTTTTCCAAAAAAAATTTTTTTAGGAAATAGCAGAGATGTTCCATTTATAAAACATTTGAAGTCTCCCAGTGAAAAGTATTTTTAAAAATCAAAATATACATATATTCATATGCTTTACCACTGTGTCAGATTAGAAGCTAATTATTACCAACAAAATCATTCCTATTGTAGCTTTATGTTAATTATAATTCATATGGCATTGAATAGTTGGCTAAATGTTATGCTTTATGTCAACACATTTGAAATTCATTAGAAATCTTTAGGATATTAGTTGATTCCCAAGGTAAAGTCACATTACACATATAGAATTCAGAGGTAACTGCTTTCAAACACTGGGGTTCTTTCCCTAGGCCTTTTTAAACTGAGTGGATCAACACTACCCAATTTTTCCAAAAAAATTTTTTTAAGGAAATGAAATAGGAAATAGCAGAGTCAGAGTCTCAGTATGCAATGAAAATCAACACATTTTGAACTTAAATGATGCAATAAAACAGGACAGGTCCCCCTGGGACCCCATCAGATAAGCATTCCTACCCATTGCATTTAACAAGTTTATCTTCTTGCAGTCTAAGGAAAATGGATATCTCTAAGTGCATAATAAGGAAGTTAAACTTCTAAGGAAGTTAAACATCAGGTGTTCAAAAAACAAGCTGGGCTCAGCCAAAGTCTCCCAATGCCTGCATCATAGGGACATGCTGACCCTTGCCCACCTCTCTTTTGACTTACTCCTTTGTATAAAATAACCCTGTGTTCTGCCAAAGAAGAAAGGGGCATTTCAGACACAAACCATCCAACCTCCCAGTCTTTTGGTCTCATCTCTCTGCTGGCTGGCTTCTGCTTCCCTCCTCAGTTTGTTGACAAGTTAGTTAGACTACTCTCCTTCCCTTCAAACTGTTTCCTTTTTATTGGCTGAAGAAACTGAGGCCGGTGTTTGGTATCACAAACACACACATATACTAGCTCACCACAGCAATAAAATAAGTAAATAAATTACTTATAATAAAACATTATAAGTAATGGACAAAAAGGCTTGACCAATACTGACCACGTGTCTAGCTCCAATTACGGTTTTATTGCCATGGGGATGTGATTTATTAATTTACAAATAGGGATATAAATATTTGTTCTGTACTTTCCCAGAGGCTTTTTGAAAATTTATCTCAACTGAGATAACACATTGGAAAAAGCCCTGAATACTGTGTGCTTTCTAAATAAATGGTTGTAAATTGTACTACACCAAAAAATTTGCAATGGCATTCAGAATTTTCAAGAACTGCAAGGTAGAGTCTTGCTTTCACAGGCCTGTCACTATCTACCCCTTCATCCCCTCCAACAGTGAAGGGCTGTGTAAAACAGAAAAGTAGTTATGATTTATTTTTGAATTTCAGTGTTTTGTGTTCTTCTTGCTTTATATGTAAACAGTAACTGATGTCGTTTTTTTTGAGTTAGTGCAGGGCCCTTGGTTCACTCTAGCAAAGATTTCCCCAGAGCTCCCCTTTCAGTGGCACTCCGCAAGTTCCTCCAAGAGACAGAGACGTTAGTTATATTTTAAGGACAGATTTTTAGGAAAACAGGAGTAATGGACACTAGCATAGGCACAAGAGGGCAGGAAAAACTGCCTCCAAAAGGGCAGATTTGCTGAGAGAGGCCTGTATGGTTGCAGGCGGGTGGTCTTGCGGAGGAGAGCAGCCTTCACTGATGGAGGTCAGTGAAGAGAAGCCTGGGCCTGGTACAGGTCTCAGGCAGGCAGGAGGCTGCTGCCCTGCAGAGGGAGAGAGTGGGTGGGAAGAAGCACCTACATAGGCACAGGTGGGCAGAAGACTTCTCTTGGGGAGGAGTTCACTCCTTGTGAGCCTAGGTTTGCTGTTGATTTTGAATAAACTGTAGAATCTGAAAGGGACAGGAAATTCCACAACAGGCTCATTCTGCATTTCTTTAACTTTAACCTTTGGGTCTGAGCTCTAGATACCACCTACAGCAGTCTGCTACCTGCTTAGATCTTATACTTTGTAATTTAGGCGTTGGCACATAAGGCTTTTGGTTTCTATAGCTGGGCTATGCTAATGCTAATCCTTTCTACTCCCAACTCTGGTGTGAATCAATCTTGTGATGCCTTTTTTCTATTCTTTCCTCTTCCTCCATCAGTAACCAATAGTTAACCACACGGCAAAAATCTCTTTCCAAGCACTTAAGTGTCTCACCAAGAAATCACGATTTAATTACTGTCAAGAACTGGAGTGGAAAAAAAATTATATATATATATAAAACAATTATTAAGCTGTTGTGCCATGTTGTGCCAAGTTTCAAGTTTCCCAAAGACCACCAAGGAGCTGATTCTGAGGCAAAGCACATGAGGGTCTTTATTGCAAGCTCGAGCCTCGGCTCCCAACATGCATTAACACAGCAGCCGAAGTTGAGAGCCCTGAGCTCAGGAACGGCAGGGTTTTTATTACAGAACAGGGGAGTTTTTTTGCCCAGCAGAGGGGCGTTTTTGCTCAGCAGTACTTTGATTGGTGGACATTGAACAAAGTTATCTTGTCTTAACCCGGTTGGTCTATGCATGTAAGATGTGACCTTCACTACTCCGCCCGCATACCTTAGGACATCTGGCATTTTCCTGATATGTACTGGTTACTTGCCTACTTGCTAATTGGCTGTTGCTATGGGATGAGCCAGATTAGGACATTTACAGTTAAATTCGGCCTTGGCGCCTTGTTGATAACTGAAACTTAGGCCTGGCTGGTACAGAAGCATTCTGAAGCCTGTCATGGCGTCAGTTTGGTCTTTTAAAGCTCTTACTGCGTACCAGCCCAGAGTCCATCTTTTTACTCCCCAGTAAAAAATATAACCCAATTAAAAAAAAAAACAACCACCAGTTATATTTTGAATACTCACACATACAGGCTATGAAACCAAATATTGAACAGGTAATCTTTAGACAGTGATTTTCTATTTTTTTTAATTTGTTCTGGAGGCTGTTATTCATTAACCTCGATAAAAATATCATTACTAAAATGTAATATATGTTTTTTCACAAGTTCTAATAAGTTAAGTGAAAAGTTTACCTATTGAGTACATTTGGTAATTATTGAGTATATTTGGAGTGTATCTGATTCCTTGTAGAAACATTCCAGTTTTATATGATCAATGAAATTGATTATAATGGGATTTGATTGTTGCTGTCCTTAAAAGGACAAGATTTCTTCTGCCCTCTAGAATTCCGGCTTAGTTCAAACTGAATGTGATGTGGCATCTTCCTCAGCGGGGAGAATCCTTCCTTTTAGTGAGGATACCTTAAGACGGAAAACAACACATTTGCATCCTTTAAGTAATGATGGGCAACCATCAAGTTTCAAAGAAGCACCGGACTGAGGCCACAGTTAGTCGTCCTTTGTTGCTTTGAGAGAAACTGATCACATTTGAGAAAACAAGCTGCAACTAATGCTTCAAGGTCGGCTCAGGAGCACAGAGAAAGTGTGTAAAGATGACGTTGGCAGATCACGGAGTGCCCGCTGCGCAACTGGGAACTAGGAAGCTTTGCTGTGCTCTGTACTTTGTCCCTCCCAGATTTCAGAGCCTGCGGGCTGTCGCTCCACGCCACAGTCCGAGCCAATTGCAAAAGACCTAACCAAGCCCAACCCAGCGGAAGGAACGGTTTCGGAGTTGTTTATTTCTCTTTGATAAAGGAGCCTTTCCTCGCTCTTGCTTTTATTTTCTGCTGTGTGACGGAACAACGCTCCAGAAGCTCGTTGGAGTGCCAGGAAAAAGAAAACAAACCAAAAGCTCTCCGCGGCGTGAAGGATGAGATTCTTCCTGGACTGCGTCCTGCTTCTGCCTTTACTGCTCGTCTTCTCCTTAGAGTCTCTCCTGAAGCTTTTTATTCCAAAGAAAAGAAAATCAGTAACTGGAGAAATCGTCCTGATTACCGGAGCTGGACACGGAATTGGGAGGCTGACTGCCTATGAATTTGCTAAACTTAAAACCAAACTGGTCCTGTGGGATATAAATAAGGTAATAATAGATCTTACTGTGATTTACTCTTCGTACCTTTAATCTATAGTCATCTTTGCATTTTGCAGGCCACAGCCCCTTGCAGCATCTTTGCAAAGTGGGTAGAAAAAAAAAAAAGAATTACTACCTGCTATTTATAAATGGGGAGGGAGGGAGGAAGAGGATGAATTAATTGATGTGCTTATGATCATAAGCCATATGATCGTCATAAAACGAACTAAAAGAGTTAAGATTTCCAGTTTTGCCTATCACTAGTCTGACACTGTAAATTTATCCTCACTTTTGTCCTGAAAATATTTTGTAATCTTTCGAACTTGAGTTTGTTACTCTTCTGCCTTAATTATAAAAGAAATAAGTGTTAGCTAGTATATCAAAAGAGTAAAGAGTAAGAGGTTTGGACCCTTACATTAAGGGGAAAAAATCCTACTTGAAGTTTTTGTGAGACTGATCAAAAAGCAACATAACTGCCAAAGTTATTGCCAAGAATATTTTTTTTTTTAGATTTATTTATTTGTGCATACAGAACTGGGGTACAGACCAGAGGCTCAGGGGCGGCGAGAGGCTTCACCAGAGACAGAGTCGGGAGCAGAACAGGCAGATCAACGAAGTACACTGCAGAGGGGAGCAGCGGGCGGGTCAGGAGAGGTCTGCCACGCCATGTGGTCACCTCCGGGGCAGGCAGGAATCGAACTCATGCGGAAGCGGCTTTAGATTCTCAGTGCTGTGCTTTAACCCGCTGCGCCACCAGGGAGGGCCCGCCAAGAATAATTTTTAAGAATCATCTTTCTGTTGAAACAACAGAAAAGAAAAAGAAATCCTCAATATAATTTTTACCAGCACAGATATAGGTTGAAGAAAATGAGTAGGATTTAGAATTTTACCTATTTGGCCAGAGGTGGGTGGGCAAGGTGGTTTCCTAAAAGCAGCTGACTGCCGGAAGTACAATCCCTTTAGTTAACATACAATGCTGCAAACAAGGATTCTGGACATGTACAAAGTCAAATGATTCTACTTTTCAGTGAGTGATGGATACACAATCTATGGTGCCTAGATATTTACAAAGTGGCAAACAAGAGATAGAGCCCTTTGCCCTCAATATGATAGGGAAATAGATGTTAAAAAATTACATGTGCAACGAGACAAACAAAGCCATTCTAGTCTGCTGAGGACCCAGTGGTGTCTCTTGGGGGGTGTGGTTAGAGACTTCTGGGCTCTCCACTTCTTCATGGTAACTTAACTTCATACAACTTAAGGATTTGCAAAATAGCTCGGGTTTATTCGGTAAAATAGGTTATTACCTTAGTGGGACGATTATACCAAAGAATACATGCAAAACATTTTGCAAAGTGTCTAGACAGTGTTAGCTATCATTCTTTCACAAAGTGAAGTTTAAGTTAAAAATCAAAGATGTCTAATAGTTGGAAAGGTTAATGCCTTCCAGTGCTGCATGCTGGTTGGTAGAAAAGTCGCTGTGTTCTGAAGTGTATTCACTGAGCATGTACTATCTGTCATATACTGTTCTAATGCATAACCAAGGATAAGTAGTGAGGAAACACAAACTCCATGAGGTTGGGATAATGCACGTGGGATAATAGGCACATTATATAATAAAATAAGTAATTGTTGAATGGTGAAAAGTATAAGGAAAAAATAAAAGAAATGGGTAGGGACTGTGTGTATGGTGGGGAGAATAGGAGCTGAAAGTTGATCTTATTCCACAGCATTGGTGGAATTGGAGATAACTGTCAAGATGCTGAGAGCACAGCAACTCTGCACATACCTCTTCAGGGAAGGATCAGTAAAATGCAAAGCTTAATACTGAGGGAAGGAAAAGAACTAAGGGAAAAGGTCATCTCTGCAGTGTCCAGCACAACAGTAGGCAGTAATCTCGGTCACTGACATTTGAAATGTGGCTCATTGAACTGAAATGTGCTTTAGATGTGAATACCCAGGGGCATCAAAGACTTAACATGAAAAAAGAATGTGCAATAGTTTATTAATAATCTATTGCATATTGAAACGATAACATGTATATATTAAGTTGAAATATACTTTTAAATAAATTTTGTTATTTTGTAAGACTACTGAAAAATTAAAAATTACTTACATAGGGCCTCCCTGGTGGTGCATGGAATTGTCTCAGCTCTAAGAAGTTTTAAGCATCCACTGCACCACTGCAGCACAAGTTCAATCCCCAGCCAGGGAGCTGACCTATGTGGCCCAGCAGACGGCTCCTGTCTCTCCAGCTGCTCCCCTCAGCAGTGTATATCAGTCAATCTGTCTGTTCTGCTTCTCTACCATCTCTGTCTCTGGTGAATCCTTTCACCACTACTACCCCAAACCTCTGCCCACACCTCAGTTCTTGTGTGCATTAATAAATAAAAATAAATCTTTCAAAAAAAATTATCAGGGGAAATCTTGAAGAACTGTGAACGGTGCTGAAAAGTCCACTGTGCAGAGAACATGTTTAAGGGAAGAATCCTATCTCTCCTGAAACTGTTTATTTTTCATTTTTTTAAACAGATAGATGTATTTATTTATGCTACAGAACTGGGGTACAGGCCAGAGATGCAGGGACATTGAGAGGATTCACCAGAGACAGAGTGGGGAGCAGAACAGGCCAACTGACAAAGTACACTGCTGAGTGGAGCACCGGTGAGACGGCTGTGTGGGCCAGCTCTGGGCCAGGGATCAAACTCGTACTAAAGTGACTATGACTGGCTTGCAGTGCGTTTCTTAACCAGCTGTGCCCCCAGGAGGGCCTATGTTTTACTTCTTACCAAGTTACTAGAAGACTGTCTAGAATGCTTCCTGGAGGAGTAAAGAATTTAAATTTGCATAGTTCAGATGATAAAGTAAGCCTTGGTTCTCTGGTCAAGAAAATAGGGCAAAAGTGAGGCTATCATTTTAAAGGAAGGACAACTTTGCTTTGTACACTGTTCATTGATAGAGGAAGCCACACAGTCATAAGAAAATCTCTGGAATTGTGATAAATGAAAAATAAATTACTGTAAAATTTGTTTCCAATAATGACTGAATTTATTAATGGAAACATAAAGAAGCAAGGCACTGTATTGAATATTTTCAGTAGATTTTTTTAAATTATGGTAAAATATAACAAAATTTACCACTTTTAAAAGATTTTTTTATTTATCCATACAGAACTGGGGTATAGGCCAGAGACAGAGTGGGGAGCAGAACAGACAGAAGGATGAAGTACACTGCTGAGGGGAGCAGCGGGAAGGTCAGGAGAGTTTGCTGCGCCATGTAGGTCACCTCCAGGGCCAGGGATCAAACTCACACTGAAGCGGCTGCAGCAAGCTTGCAGTGCTGCATCCTAACCTGTTGCGCCACAAGGGAGGGTCCCCCAAATTTACCATTTTTAAGTGTTCTGCCAATATCATTTAAGTACATTCACATTGTTATGCCATGACTTCTATCCATTTCCACAGCTCTTTCACCATCAACTTAAACTGGTGCTCTGTAAATCCCCACATCCTCCTGGACCTGTTCCTGTCAAAGTCCTTCTACTTTCTGTCTCTGTGACTGTGACTGCCCCAGCTATCTATCTCATCCTCTTGCATCTGGCTTATTTCACTTAGTTTTATAGTCTCAAGGTGCATCCAAGTTTTAGCATGTCAGAATTTTCTTCCTTTTGAAGACTGAACAATACATCATGCAGTCTTCCAAATCCATGAATTCAAGAAACACTGATGGAAAATAGGTACTATGAGTTGAATATGAACAAAATCTTAAAGAAAAATACTAAAAGCTGCCTGTTAAATACCGAAGAATCACAAAAGGGTTAGCGCAGATATTTTGATGCCCCTTGGGGTAAAAGGGTTGCTCATCAGAGTATACTAGTTTGGATGGGAGGGCTCAGTTTGATGTTGTTTTGCGAAGCTAACTGCTATTTATGAATAAATTTGCACCTGTTTTCCCATTCTCTCTGGATAAATTCTCTTTTCTCTGAATATAGTAAATTGTCTACATTGGTTAACAATAACTTCCTGGTTTCCAAAGCTCACACACTAACCTTCAAGGTATCTTTTGAGGCATTCTCAGTAAATAAAAAGGCTACAAAATGGATCAAAGCAAAACAAAAAACCTGGCATGAATAGAAGCAAAAATAGAACCTATGATATGATCCTAAATGAATGCCTAGAAGAAGCTGAAGTGGCTAGTGGGAAAGCCTGACTGAATCAATGCCCCAAACCAGCTCATGATCCCTTTTTAGCTAATCTGAGCTCCCTGTGGAGTTCCCCTCTGAATTCTTATAGCATTATATTGCCAGTTACTAAAACTAGAAATGTGATTACCAACTTTGTTCCTTCCCACCCTCCTCACCCATCACAAAGCCCCACTGATTTTCCTGCCCAAGAATGTACTTTAAAGATGACTCTCTTCCCCTGCTATACTTTTTAGTGGTGTCATTATTCAGGTGTGGATTATCTTTGCTTAGTCACTGTAATTGCCTCCAATTTTTTTCTCTTCAGTGTTAACCACTAACATCTGTCTTCCATACATAAGCAAGAGTAATCCATAGAACTCACAAATATGAGTCTAATTTTATCCACGGTTCCCCGCTAACTTCGTAAAGGAAGTGATGTTGGGTTGTCAGGAAAACATCATGGCATAATTTTTCTGTGTTTTTTAAACAGAAACGTGTCGTGACTTTTCCAACAACCCAATTTATACTACACCTTCATCTAAAGTCTTGCTGGCCTTGAACTTTTATACTTACTGCAACATAGTGGGTTTACCCACACAAAACACCAGTATTCAATCCTTTTTTCCAAAACAATAATTCATATTCATAATGGTCCTACCTAAAGATTATAGTTATTTTTTATGTCTTTTTCTATTATCCTGTCAACACACTCAGGTGAGGACATTTATGTTTATATCCACTAAGTTTTCCTATTTTTTTTAATAACAGTTTATTTTTACATCATTTTGTACATTTTTTTTCCATCTCAATTGTAATCCCCACGGGTTTCCCATCACCAATTCATAATGGTCCTACCTAAAGATTATAGTTATTTTTTATGTCTTTTTCTATTATCCTGTCAACACACTCAGGTGAGGACATTTATGTTTATAT